CAATTTGATAATAAGTCGATGTACTCAACAATTAAAGCTAACAAAACAAAATTAGTTCTGCTGAACGCAGATTATTACAGAATAATGTATAATAACAATGCAAGATGGAGAAAAGACATAGGTTCAGCGTTCTCTTAAGACATTATAAAATTAAAAATTATATTATATACCTATACTGTTATTAAGATATCAACTATACTTTAGGACAGAGGTTCTCAAGCTTTTTTGGTTCACGGCACATCATTATACATCACAAGTTTTCGTGGTACACACAACACAAATGTAATGAAATTAATTACTGTTTTCAATATTTTTACCAGCATAATTACAAATATCAGAAACTTCTCGCGGCATACCTAGTCAATCTCGGCAGTCGCCAGTCGGCACAGTATTGTGCCACGGCACACCGGTTGAGAACCACTGCTTTAGGACCTAGGTCCATCTACACGAGGTTCTTCAAAATTACAGTCATTTTAATTGTTAGTACAGCAGTAGGTATATTTGATAATTTATTTGCGAATATATATGTATAGACACCGAATAGTACAAAATATTAAGTGAAAACAAGCTGACCTTGGATATGAACATTTAATTTTGTTTGCAAAAAAATGTATTATATTAAAATTATATCACAACATTCGCATTGGGTAAGTACAAGAGTATAAAATATAAATAGGTATTTAAAAAATAAAAATTTACGCATTTCTTAGTCAATGGTTTAAGTGATTTTCCGAAGCATAATATTCGTAAAATAGGTACTGTTCGTATTTTTGCATTGTCAAATGAAATGGACATAAGTCAATCGATCTCAAAGGTTGATAAAATGATAATAATAGTATACTTAATACATACATTGATCAATTATTATTTATTAAAGAACTATATGTACATGTAATGTGTATGTTGATGACATGGTTGCATCACGTGCTCGCGAGAGAAGGGTGTGCTACTGTGAAAGTTGTTCAGACAGTGTTCACCTCCAAAAGACACGCATAGTACATAGATCTTCTACATACACACAAAAGATAAATATATGTACACAGCAAAAAAAGTATTTAAGGAAAATGTAATGATAATAGTGGAAATTATTTAATAATTTTTAAAACTATACACATAATATTAAGCAGATATTAAAAAGAAATAAATCAAAGTTAAAAATGTGACTAATTATGACGAATTTCATAATTACATAGAATGCTATTGTACATTTTGTAAATAAAATACAGCTATGTTGGCCACTTTCTCGCCACGTCACACCAACATATAGTGATGGCTCGTTCATCTTAATGGATTTTTACAATCATACCTACAAAACGGATTTGAATATGAAAATTTTATTAAGTTTTAATAATTAATGATCGATAAATTTGTGTATCAGCCAAATCAATTTTTACTACTAATTACGTATTAGTATTTTAATAAATAAATAAAATACAATTACTTAACATAGTACATTATTTAGAGCCTACAATGCAATAAACCTTAAAATAAAACAAGGAAGGAAGTAAATTATTACGCATGATGTTATAAAAAATTAATGGAAATAAGAAATCTAATATACAATTTATAGGTATCTAACTGATTAATAATAATCTAATATTAATTGGTAAGTAACTAGGTACTTCGTTTTACACAAATCTGGTTTTCTTATCTGTAGTCTGTAGAGTAACTATAATATATATATATATATATATTGAATTTCATTATATGATGTTATAACTCAAATTAAAATTATATTATATTTACAACAAGTAAATACAATACTATAGTAAAAGTAGGTACCTATTTATTATCAATGATTTTATATATAAATATTATAATAGAGTAACTATCAAATATACATAAACAGACAATAAACATTATTTATATATTTTTAAATTTACCTAACAATTAAATATGTTAATTTTTTTAATCATGTTTTATTTTTATCTGAAGAAGTGAAGACTTGAATTTATTTTTATTCCCTGAACATTCGAGGTCAAGATGCTAGTTAATAATGTATTTACATTACATAGGTACAACCCTATGAATATAAATAAAATTGCATACATTATTATTATATAGGTACATTATCCAAATATTTCAACTTATTATAAAATCACACATAACCAGTATTAAAGCTTTTCAAAACATAGATTTATCTTAGGTGTAGATAGTTAATGTTTGGGTAGGTAATAAGGTAACTCATTATACCYATATATCATTATAGCAATTAAAATAATAATATTCATGTTATGAAAGATCTACGGAGTTAACACAATTAATACACTTTAAATTGTAATCTAATGATTTTACAAGATAACTAAGTCACATGATGACCATAATTGTTTTTGTTCATGTAAATACTGTATCATAAAAAATTGTTAACCTAACAACAAAAGGCCAATGGCCATAGATGCCAAGGCATATCTATTAAAAAAAAAAAATGGTTTTACAAAATTGATTTTCATTTACAAAACAAATTTATTACTTTTTATTCCATTAAAAAGTGTATTTTATAATCCAAGATTTTATAGACTGAAAAATTGACACAATTTTGCAGGACAGAATGTAATTGTTTATATAATTGTTACTAAAAATGTAAATAATGAAGAAATGTGACAATTTTTACATAATTGGAACTCTACTAGGAAATTTTAATGAATCTACACAAGMAAAAAAAAAAATCAAGAAAACATCTCAGAAAAAATCTAAATAAAAATAAATTAAGTTGGTACTTCTTATATTCCATATAGAGCAATAGAGCAAAATCGATAAAGTTATAGGTATTTCATTTTTTCTTCTTTTAACTATCAAGTATTATAGCCTTATAATTCATAAATAGGGGTCGAATGTTGATGACTTTTGCCATAAGACTAATTTTTATTTTTTGTTTTTAGGGYATTCTAAGTAAGTGTGAAAAAAATTACGACTTAATATTTGTCATTATTATGTTTTATATTTTGTAAAATTTAGAGGTATAAATATGACCATTAAACTAAATTTAATTCTACCTACCTAACAATTTTTTTCAGATTGTAGAATTTGCATATTTATTTTCAGCGAATATTTCACTTTTTGACAAATAATTAGTATAAAAATAAAATTGATTAGGTAGGTAGGATATATTATATATTATATATCGCAAATCTTCAATTTTAATTAAACATGTATCAATAAACATAAACTTGGTGAGAAACAAATATACAAATTTAAGAAATAACAAATTAATACAAACCTATATAATACACCATAATATATTTGAATGCAAATATGCAATGTGTAATGTAATTGAAAGCTAATAATTATAATCTATATCAATTAACAATTTTTTGGTATAAGATTTCTTCGAGGATTTCTTATTATCAAAGCACAAAGGAATAATAAGTTACCAATAATCATTAGTATCTAATTTTAGATAAAGACGATTTTAAATTAAAAAATATATAGGTAGGTTCAGAATGATATGTTACTATCCATGAATATAGAAATATTATAGAATATGTCAAGGAGTTAAAACATAACAATAGGTATAAAAAAAATTGTGCATGGTAATTAATAGGTACCTACAATATTTATATACCTAATACATTATTCTGTAATAAAATTATCCAAGTTAGGTTAGTTCATTAGTTGTTATTATTTAAATTTTTTCAATTCAAAGTTATTTCACAAAACATTTTGATTCAAAATATAATAATAATATGGAATAATTATTGACAAATTATTTATGAGTTAAAACTAAATTTTTCCAATATTTTATTGATTATCTCATTAGAAGGGAAGGGAATAAAATATTCTATATCTATATAATTTTTAAGTTTCATGTACAACTTTTGAACTGTAGACTTAGGGCCATTCTTACAATGCTCGGTTAGTGCCTGATAACACTAACCGGAAGAATTTATCATGAGTTAACCGRTAGAATTCTAYCGGTTRGTCTTAACCGACACTTAACCGGACATTGTAAGAACGGCCCTTAGTATATTATTTTTATAATGATTTTAAATAAATGATAAAGAATTTTTTCATAATTTATGAAGATAAGAAAAGATAATGAATCATAAAATATAAAAATATTATGTATGTAGGTATGTACATTTGAGATTACAACTTTTTGTATCAAGATACAAACATTATACCTAACGGTAGTGTAATGCAATGATGAAAATTACATAGATTCAGGTTTTGAAAATTTAAATTAACCATTAAAAATACATTTACTGTTTATAAAAAATGTAGGCAAATAATTTGTTTTATTTTAAATATACCTACCTAAGCATACATATTACAGTATCATTTAAGGTCAATAAAATACATACCTATGCTGTTAGTACAATTAGGTACTTTGCTTTCAGAATACAGAATATTGTTTAAAGACGATTATTCATAAATATTACAGTGTTAATATTTAACTTGATAATTGTATGTTTCATTTGATCAAACAGAAACAGCTATGAACAGTAATAATTTTTATCTATAAATGCACTGTTAATTGATTCTAATTAAGTAAATGTTCAATATGTACACACATATAATAGGTATGTTGAGTTATACTAATTTAACTCTAGGTTTGTAGGACTATAATAGTAGATTGAAACCTTGATCATAATAACAATAATGTAGGTAGAACAAACATTGTAAACAAGCCATGTTTAAACATATGAAGTTCATGTAGGTACCTAAAATATAGGTATAGATAGATCAATTTTTGTGTCAATCCATACATTACTACATCAGTACAAGGTCTTAAATTATAAAAAATATTAAAAAGTTGACACACGAATAGAAGAATATGTAGATGAAATAATTTTCTCAGCACAACGCATTAAGCCAAAACCCATATTTGTTAGCTAATAAACGAGCCAATAAATAAATATTGGCAGGTATAGACTTTAAGAGATTGCTGAATAAAATATTTAACTTAACAATTGTATACAGCCAATCATAGTAAAATACAGTAATGAATAATGATGATTAATAATTAGTGACTACCAACAAATTATAATTTCTAGACTTACCGAAATAGATAAGTCCACTGTTCAATGTTCCCCAACAAAGACACGGATGACGCTTTGTCAACAGTAATGAGTCGTCTGGTGTTATTTATTAGCCTACGCGTGATATTGAACACTTACATTAGTATACCACGATAAAAAAAATAAGCTATCGATGCGACCTACTTCGGAAGAAAAAMGCATTTATTGCACAAAATTTCACTGGACAAAAAAAACCGCTCATTGAATGTGTAGAAACCTACGGCGCAAACAACCACGGTGACGAACAAGTAAAACGTCTGTAAATTTAAGGCTGCCGAGCCGTGTGGAAACCGTTTTCAATTATTCAAATTCTTGAATAGTTATTCAATGGAAATTTTTTCGTTTTTGTAACYGTGAGATTGATAAAAACGCAGACGGCTAGTGATAACGAACTATCGGCGAAAACGTCGTCGTGACAACTGTTGCGCGCGCAATTGCGAACTGCGGAGCGACTAAAAAATAAAAAGTGAAAAACAGAACGCACTCAGAAACCGTGCACGGCCCGGCACCGGTGACCGGGGTGGAGGTAAGAGACACGATACGCGACGGCCGCGGCAGTGCGACCGACCGCTATGACAACCAGCCGCAGCCTTAAAGAGAATCCCCACCGTCACCGTGTACTCATTGTTGTCTTTCCAACATTGCAGTACAACACAATATCACTATCTATATATACCTATACCTATCCCTAATAGTTCACAACTGTACTCACTAAATTGTTCAACTCAATAATTGTAAGTAGATGTAAAATATCATAACATAAGCAATCTACTACTGTCTACTACTTCTTGTGYAGTTGTGTACTTCTTGTATGCCTACTAAGTACTTATACAGTTCTATGTTTACCTCACTATCTGCATAATATTACACGGTGTATTTTTGATATTGTGTTATGAACTCCTAGTTGGCCATTTATTTGAAGTTATTTTTTTTAGAATAGATGCTAAGCGAAAAAAAAATAAATCACAGCTTGGAATTTACCTATTCATAAATTAAAAGTGTTATTAATCATTATACCTACTATGGGCTATGGCATTCAAATCACATTATAGGCAATTCAATAAACTATATTATATTATATGGGTTTATCATTCTTGTAGATGCATGGTGTAGGTAATATGGGCATGTGCTAACTCTTCAAAATGCAGTTACTCAGCCATTGAATGGATAAGAAAAATATTAATAATCTGGACATTGAACTACGAGGAACAATGTCCATGAAGTTTATATGGTATTTTTTTTTCTTAAACAATGTGATTTATCAAACAATTTAACTATAATATGTCAAAAGTTATTAAATTATAATTTGAGCATTCATTTAACTTTAGTTTTAATACATTTTTATTATTAGACTCAATTAGAAATGCTGCAGTTATATATATTATTATAATATTATTGTTATTATTATTATTACGATGTTTCTATGACATACTATTACATAAATAATAATAATTAATAATAGGTAACTTTAACTAGTGATGATAAAAACCAGACCAAAACTCTTGGTCTTGGCTATACACGTTATAGTATTGGTCTTGATCTTCCGCAAAACTCTTAATATTTTCACAAAATGTATAAGAAAAATTAAATGCCTGCTATAGATGTTTGTAGGTATTTTTTTATGACYTCTAAGATTAAACTTAAACTCAATAAATATAATATATTAATAATTTAAACATTAACATAGCCACATAGGTACATAAAATAATTTAAACAATTTATTTTTTATTATACTTGTGTGTCGTTTAAAACTGCATTTTTAAATTATATTAATATTATTTTATTTATATTCGTATTTGATTATATTCTGGACATATTTGTCTCCAAAATTCCGAGTAAATTATACTGTTCTGTAAACAACATTTTAAACTTAAACTCAGATCACTCAGCTGTAATACTTAATATCGATGTGACTCCTCAGTCCTCACACACATTCATTTAGTCACTCTTTTTTATCTCACAATCGAATAATCGTTAAATATTCCATAACACAATTGCCCATCTAAAATGTTCTCGGTCGGGTGGTGCTGCTGAGCGGACACGGACGTTTTGGCACCGCCGTTTGGGCGCTGCCGTTTTGGCCCCAACTAACCTAATAGAATTTGTATCAAAATTGTACCTACCTAAAAAAATTATTACAAGATTAAGTAAAAATATAAATATGTATATAGTAGAAAATTAAAACATAGTGAATAGTTAGTTAATTATAAAATTGTACTTAAAACATTATTATAAGATAATATAGTTAAAATATAAATATAAATATATACTAAAAATTAATAGTTTTAGAAAATTATTACAAGATATAGTCAAAGTATAAATATAAATATATAGTAAAAATTAATAGTTTTAAAAAATTATTACAAGATATAGTCAAAGTATAAATATAAATATATAGTAAAAATAATTTTAAAACATTATTACAAGGTAATATAGTCAAAATATAAATATATAGTAAAATTTAAATAGTAAATTAAAAAATGTTTACATTAAAAATAGTTACCCTAATGAAACATTGTTTGCAATGCCTCTTAAAAATAATAAAATTCTATTTTT